CCCTGCTGTGGTCTGGGAAAGCAGTCGAGGATGGCCCAAGGCTTTGGGACCCTGCACCCGTGTGGGAGACCTGGAAGAAGTTCCAGGATCCTGGCTTTGGATCAGCATAGCATCAGTCATTGCACTCACTTGGGGGGTGAATCATCGGACAGAAGATCTTCCTCTCTGTCCCTCCTCCTCTCTGTATATCTGACTTTCCAATAAACATAAATAATTTTTTTTAAAAAATTGCCTAAGTTTTCTATAGGCATGTAGTATTCTTATCTTTTTTGTTTTTCTCCTGGGGGAGGAAGAACTGCTTGTATTTTTTTAAATTGTTTAAATTTTCTTTTTAATATTATTTGTACAGTTGAGAGGGATGTACGCCCCATGTGGACCTCTGGTTAGGGTGGAGAGGGTCAGGCATAAAGGAAAATGGATGGGACAAATGTTTTAGTTTTTGGTTTTTTCCTCCCATGTTCCCAGGGAAGGAAGGGGAGCAGGTGGTTGTTCCCTGCGATATGCTTATTTGTGTTAAACTGGTATAAGCAATCCTGGAAAAAATAATCTGTGATACCATTTCCACCATGAAGAGGCAAGTGATGTAAAAGGTCCCAGAGGTAGTATGAATCATTCTGAAACACTCCTAATTGTGAGTGGAGATTCTGGACACCATCCAGCAACAGGCCTCAGGTCTGCTTTCTAGAGCTACTTTGAGTGAGTCTACGACTGAGCTAGAGACTCAGTAATTCAAGATCATCACCAAAGCCCCATGACCCTGCTCCCATCACTGCTGCCAGTCTGCTTGCTGACCAACTTTTCCAACCGTTGCAGGTCACCAAGGTTTCTAGCCTTCCCAGCCTTTTTATCTTGCTCTAGACACTCTCTTGCTGCACATGTATAGATATTGCGTGTGTGCACAGTAGATCATGGCTGAACTGCATTTCCTTCTGTCAGTAATGATCAATGAAGTTTGAAGGTGAGCATTTGGCACGACATTAACATGCTGTTTGGAACATTCACATCCCCTACTGGGGATGTTCAAGTTTTGGTTCCAGTTCTTTTTTTATTGTTATTATTTTATTTTCTGAGAATTTATTTTCTGTATTTCAAAAGCAGAATTACAGAAACAGAGAGGGAGAGACACAGAAAGAAGGTTTTCAATCTGCTGATTCACTCCTAAAATGGCTACAATGGCCAGAGCTGAGCGGATCTGAAGCTGGGTCTCCCACATGGGTGCAGGGGCCCAAGGATTGGAGCCATCCTCTGCTGGCCTCTTGGGCTATAAGCAGCAGAGAGCTGGATGGGAAGTGGAGCAGCCAGTATGTGACCCAGCACCCATGTGGTCCTACACAGGAGCTGCAGGCGAAGGAGTCTGTGGAGCTACAGGTATAGGACTTGCCCCATGTGCCACCACACTGGCTCCGGTTTTGCTCTCTTACCACTCCTGGAGCAGACTGAACAATTCCTGACACCTGGTTTCGGCCTGGCCCAGTTTCAGCTGTTGTGGGATTTTGTGAGGAAACATGGGTGGGATCTCTGTGTCACGCTTTCTCTGGCTGTTTGCCCTTCTGTGACAACCCGGACAACAGAAAATGGCAACAGTAAGGTTAGGTCTTCTGAAACACTTCTGGGACAAGTCCATAGCCTGATTTTTGCCATTACCTTGGGTTTTTGGAAAGTCCCACAAGGGGAGTGGGAGTACTTATCACCAGAGGGCATCTTATTCCAGGATGAGACCTTGCTTTTCTTACTAGCTCAGGCAGTAAGCTGGTTGATCCAAATTGTTTTCTGTAAATAGAATTGGAAGGCCCTGTTTGCCTAGGTGCTGCTAGGTAGGATGTGATTCTTACTGATTGAATAGTTTAATGTAAATATGCTTAAACTGGGTATCTGTGTTCCACACCATTACAGTTGATTGAATGATGCACATCATGCATGTTCTCTTAGTTTGATTGGATGATCATTGCTAAAGAACCCCTGAGCATGGCTGGTCAGATCTGCTCCTCCCTTCCATGTGTGGTGAAACACAATAGTTCACCAGCCAGCACCAGCCATAATAAAGAATAAAGGCTCCTGAGCATCTAGAGTCTACTCCGACTCATTTTTTTGGGATAAATTTGGTCAACTCGCAACACTTCAGTAACAAAATAAAATAATTTGAAAACTGCTGCACAGTTCATGGCCACTGCAGGCCAGGAATGAGCTGCAAGCCATGGGGCGCACCACTCTCAGCTAGACACGCTTCCTGCCCCCAAACCCTCGGCCTACTCAGGTTCTGAAAGCACATCACCTCCTCCCCAAAGTACTTCCCCAATTCACCTTACCTGACGGTCCTAAGCCTTCTCCTTATCACTCAAAGCAGTTTCCCTTGTATTGTCATTATGTCTGTACACAGAGTCCTTTTTTCTTTTAATTTATATTTATTGTAAAGGCAGATTTACAGAAAGAGAACAGGAACATCTTCTGGTTCACACCCCAAGTGGCTGTAACAGCCAAAGCTGAGCCGGTCCGAAACCAGGAGTCAGGAGCTTCCTCTGGGTCTCCCATGTGGGCGCAGGGTCCCAAGGCTTTGGGCCATTCTCCACTGCCTTCTCAGGCCAAAGCAGGGAGCTGGATGGGAAGTGGAGCAACTGGAACATAAACCTGTGCCCATATGGGATGCCCGTTACCTGAAGGTGGAGATTTAGCCGGTTGAGCCAAAGGTCCCCTAGGAATAACTCTTAAAGACATTGCTTTTGAGACACCTGCATTCCATGGGGGAGTGACTGGAGTCCCAGCTTTGCTTTCAAGTCCAGCTTCCTGCTAATGTGCACCCTGGGAGGCACAGGTGGCTGTCCAAGTGCTTGACTCCCTGCTACACATCTGGGAGACCAAGGTTGAGTTCCCAGGTCTCAGCTTTGGTTTGGCCTAATCCTTGCTGTTTCTAGGAATTTTGGGGGAAACTCAGTAGATGGAAAATGCTCACACTGACTTCCAAATAAGCAAATAAATAATTCATTAAAGGTAGATAAATAATGCTAATAGGCTTTTATATTTCTGTAGGAGCAAGAGTCAAATTATTATATATATATATATATGCATATATATATATTATTTTTTCTTTCTCTTCATCTCAGGTTTATTTGTGTAAATGAGGACAGTAGCCCAGAGGTCACACCAGTCCTTCTGTCCCTGCAGTGGCCGACAAAGGCTGTCACTACTGAGCCTTGGTGGGGAGCTGGACATCTGTGGGAGGACACTGTATTAGAGTCGGTGCTGCAGGTGCGGCCTGGGTTGGGGCTTTGGGCTTGGTCTGGGCCTTGATGTAAGCCCTGGCCTTGCCCTTCATCTGAGGCTTGGTCTTGACCTTTGCCTTGGTCTTTGACTGGACCAGCCTGACACCCTTGGCCATGTGGGCATGAGCATGCTGAGCCTGGGCTGGGCGATGTAGGCAAGTCAATTGAGTTTGCGACTAACTGCCGTGGGGATGGTGGACTTCACTTCCTTGGGTTTGACCATGGTCTTGAAGGCCTCGGCCTGCGCACTCTTGGCCTTGGCTGTGTTGGCCTGCATCATCTATAGGCTCTTCTTGTTGTACTTGGCAAAGTGCATGTTTCTCAGGAATTTGGGGTTCACCCCTTTAAGAGATTCATATCGCTGATGGGGCCTCTTTATGCCATTTCCATGCCACTCTCAGCACTGGTTGTATGTAGTGTGGTTCTTGGACTTGGCCATGTCTTCACTGTAACCTCAAAAGTGCATATATTTTAAAGATGTTTCCTTTAGATGAGAGTGCATTCCTCCTATATTTTTGATGTTAAGACGCTTTTTTTTTTTTGCAGATCGATTGATGATAAATTAGAAAATAGTAGTTCGCTGTTACTGTGTGTGTTCATTGCCCTTATTTAGCAAAAATATAAACAGCTGTAAATTTGGTATTCATTTTCTTGTTGAAAACTCCCAAATCAAAATAATTATTTGTGCTTTCTGGGCTGCCTATGGGTAAAGCCACTTTCCTGAAGGGCGGATGAATTTCCTCCCAACTTAAGAACTGCTATTTATCATTCTATGCACCTGCTCCGATTTTTTCATCATCCTGACACCCATTTAGTCGTAGGAATGGGAGTTCTTGCCCTTTAAATAGGGGCGTGGCGTAGGGCCGGGCACCGCCCAGGAGAGGCAACCGAGAAGAGGAAAGCGGAAGCGTGGCCCTTAGTAGTAGGCACTGCGCAAGCGTAAAATTCGAGCTGAGGGGGCGGGTCCACGGGAGCCGGGGACCCTGGGCCCAAATGGCTGCAAGCTCAGGTAACCAGTGTTCGGGAGCCGGCCGGCTGGGAGGGGACAGGGTGAGGGGCTGCCCTCGGGGTGGGAGGGGAGCGCGCGCCTCAGCGCAGCGCCTCGGCCGGCTGCCCCCGCGCACCGCCGCCACGGCCCCGGGGAGCTGACGGAGCAGTCCCTGATGGCTTCAGGGGCTGGGGCGGCCGACCCGGTGGGGCTGACCTTAGGGCGGAGGGGCGTGTCCGGCGTGCGGCCCCGAACTGAGTCAGGCCGTTTCCCCTGGACGGTTCCGAACTAGTGTGAGGCTGAGGTGTCAGGCGCGCCCCCTGCTCGGCTTGTGAGGGCAGGAGGTGGGTGGTCCTCTCCTGAGCCTACTCCAGATCCGCACGGATATGCAGCCTGTCGTCCAGCGGGTTGGAGGTGTGGACGCCCCCGTTCTCCCAGGAGCGGGGATGCCTAGTGTGTCCTGGGGCCGAGGGATAGAGGGAGTGCCCACTTTTTAGGATTGATAGGCTTCCCGTGTGGCTGCTTGCTGTGTGCCTCGGCCTGCCAGGTGTACCTTGTCAAACGTGATGACAGCAGAGGAAAAGTTGGGGCTCTGTACCCTAGCTAGTTCTCCAAGAGTGGAACCCTGGGAAGGAAGGCAAACAGATCTGAAACCAGGGACTCTCTCCGGGTCTCTCAAGCTGATGCGGGGTCCCAAGCTTTGGGTTATCCGCTGCTGTTTTTTCAGGCTATAAGCAGGGAGCTGGATCAGAAGTGGAGCAGCCAAGACTGGAACCTGTCGGTGCCCATATGGGATGCTGGTGCTTGAAGGTGGAGAATTCGTCATGGCATCAGCCCTATCCACAGTGGACATGTAAAACTAGTATGCTTCCAGCTAGGGTATGGTTAGGGTAAAGTAGGACCCATGAAAGAGGTGCTGTGGTCATGAGTTATCGGAGGAAGGTTGGGAGCCTTCTCTAGGTTGGCAAGTGTGCACCATGCTTCCAACTCTGCAGACTGATGGGGTGCACGGGAAGGCCTGTGCCTGCCAGTGGCCAGCCTTCCACCACACTGTCAACTGGAGGGAGAGAAAATGGAAGAGTAGAGGGAGAAAGTGGCAGCCAGTTCACTTCCCCAAAATGGCTGCAGCAGTTAGGGCTGCACCGAGCCAAAGCCAGAAGCCAGGAACTCAATGTAGGTCTACAGTGGAGACAGAGACCCAGCCGTTTGAACCATTACCTGCTGTCTTCCATGTTCTGCGTTGAGCAGAAAGCTGAAATTGGCAGCCCCACGTAGGAATCGAATTCACTTGTACCTGCTAGCATCTTAACTGGTAGGCTGAATCTAGCCTCACAGTCATCTTTTTATTCAGTTTCCCACAGATCTTTCAAATACCCTCCTATTGCCTTTGCAGTTGGACTACCATCAACAGGTGGTTGTTTTCTCCCAGAGTCTTGGTGAGTCTTAGCTGCTCCCACTGACCTATAGGCATTGCAGTTAATGAGACTTGGTATTGGTTATGCCTGTGAATGTGCAGAAGGGCTTTTTGAACCTGCAGGAAGGGCTTTTGAATTTAATGAAGCATGTTTAGCTTTTGATCTGTTTATAGGTTTTGTAGAGTTTAAAGAGCATCTTTGCTTGGCCCATAGTTTCAGTGTCATCTGCGTATGCTTGTAATATTGTTTTATTCTTTTTTAAAAAAATTTATTTATTTTTACTGGAAAAGCAGATTTCCAGAGAGAAGGAGGTACAGAGAGAAAGATCTTCCACCTGCTGGCTCACTCTCCAAGCAGCCTCAATGGCCAGAGCTGAGCTAACCTGAAGCCAGGAGTGCCCTTCAGGTCTCCCATGTGAGTGCAGGGACCCAAGGCTTTGACCCATCCTCCACTGGTTTCCCGGGCCACAAGCAGGGAGCTGTTTGGGAAGTGGAGCAACCGGGCATGAACCAGTGCCAATATGGGATCCCTGTGTATGCAAAGTGGGAGTTTAGCCACTGAGCCATTGCTCTGGGCCCAAATTGATTTTATTTTTAACTATTATCTTCCTTCACTATAACATTGAAGTGCATTCTGTGTTTTAGCAAGGAACTATAGATTTGTGTGGGATTTCTCACTGCTGTAAACCTCTAATGTTTACTGTGGTGGTCATTCCACTTTTTAAGCCACAGTTCTTTCTGTTCTGTGACAAATATGTAACATAAATGAGTTTAAACAAAAAGGAATTTATTGGCTCACAAACCTGGAAAGGGCTAACCTGTCACTTCATCAACTTAGATGATGTTCTTAAGTCCCTCTGCCTCTCCCCAAAGAACCTCTAGCTCCTTAGTGCCCTATATCTGCTTCTGTAATTGTCTTAACTCTATTAATGTGTGATAGATGTGTCTGTAGGCAGTTTCTGAGTTACGTCATCCAATCTTAAGTACCCCAGAGTAAAGGTGTAACTCCTGCCTTCAGTAGTTACAAATTCCAGGGAAGGATCCTGACTGGCCAGGCTGGACACAGGATGTCCACGCCTCCTCTTCTGGTCTGGCAGGTAAGGTATCTGATTCAGTACCATGGAGATCCTACGGTTGCAGTATGGAAGGAGTGCTTTCTCAAAGGGAAAGGGGTAAAGGTGTGGGTTTTTTTTCCTCCAGAGTTCAGCAAGGAGCTTCCTTTTGCTGTTTCAAAAAGAAATTTTTAGTATTCTACATCCTCCTTAACAGAGAAACTGAGATGATAGTTTAATTGGGAATTAATAAAGGCCATTGTCTATTTAGTCTGTTGCTGAGCGGAATCCTATCTTGTACGGATTTAGCTTGCATGAATTCACCATTTATGTGGAGAAGAAAGGGGATATGCAGAGTCTCTGTAAGGCCCAAGTACTTCTTAAGAGGTGTTGTTTGGGTTGTGGGTGAGAGGTTTTTAGAAGTGATGATTTTCTCTTATTCGTTTCACTTACTGCCTGATACGTGTATTGATTGAAAACCTGGTAAAATAACATACAATATAGATATTTGGAGATGTGGTTCTTACTGTGTTAGGGGATTAGCTCTTTCTACAGAAGGGGTATTCTTTGAGGCCGGTGTTGTAATGTAGCATGTTCAGCTTGTGATGTCAACATCCCATATGAGCTCCAGTTCAAGTTTCAGTTGATCTGCTTCCTGTTATTGCACTCACTTAGGAAGGTAGTGGATGATGATCCATGTGCTTGGGCTGCTGCCACCCTTGTAGGAGACCTGAATGAGTTTCAAACTCCTATTTTCCACCTGACCTAGCCCCAGATGTTGCAGTTACTTTAGGGAGTAAACCAGGAATCTATCTCTGTCTTCATATCTTTGCCTTTCAAATAAATAAAATAAATATTTCTTTTCCTCTGAAGTTCCATTCATTTGTTTGAGAGGCAAATCTAAAAGAGAGGGAGGACAAGAGAGTAAGAGAGAGAAAGAGATCTTTTATCTGTTGGTTAACTCCCTAAATGGCCTCAGTGGTCTGAGCTGGGCTGGTCTAAAGCTGGGCCTTTCCAAAGCCAGGAGCCAGGAGTGTCTTCCGGGTCTCCTTGATGGGTGACATGGACTCAGTCACTTGGGCCATCCCCTGTTTGCTTTTCCCAGCCCAGGCTATTAGTAAGGGAGCTGAAATGGAAGTCTAGCAGCCAGTACTCAAACCGTTGCCTATATAGGGTGTCAACATCACAGGCAGTGGCTTTTCATGTTAAGCCACAATACTTAGTAAATCTTTTATTTATTTATTTATTTATTTATATTTTTATGTTTCCCGGGTGATAAGTAAATCTTAGGAAAGGAAAAGCTGCTCCTTGAGGGTTATTTGACAATTTTTAGTAGTAACCTTTCAGCAGGTGCGGGAAGATCTCAGGCACTGTTCCTTTCCTCTACTTCTCAACATTTGTTCTTCCATATGTGTTTCTTGATTTAAATGATCAGTCTTCTTATTTTGACATGTACTAAAAGAAGAAAAAGACAAATGGAAACTTGAGTTTTTTGTCAGTGGCAGCACCAGGCACTGAGGGAGCTTTGGTTACCTATATAGGTCTGGCATCGGAAGGAAACTCAGGGTGTAGGCAGCAGGCTGTGCCAGGATATAATACTGGTACATCAAATATAGGGTCTGTTGCTAAAGTCCATGGGTAAAGTGACAACTGAGGATCATTGAGACATCCTTGGAAAGTTCCTTGAAAGCTGAGTGTCCTCACAGTACCCTAGGAAGGAGTTATAGCAGAGACCAACATGCGATCTCTTAGGAAGCTTGGCATTGCTACTTCTGGTGCCATGTTGGGACAGAATGTGGGTTATATTTTGAGCACAGATGAAGTCAGTTAGCTGTGCATGAGTCATGCAAGAACTGAGGGCGACCCGTTGGGACAGCAAATGTCCAAGCCCTCATGCGTGCTCACTCTGAAGCATATGGTTATGTAGTGAAATGGTATGCAGAATCTGGCTCTGTATGAACCTTTTTTTTTTTCTTTTCCTTTGCGGAAGATAATAGTTGCATTCCTGTAAATTCAGCTGTACATATGATACATTTTCACTGCCTGCATCTTGGCCTGTAGGCTGAATTAATGTACAAGAACACGAAACATCTGAGATTGTGAAGTCTGTGTCATGTTGTATGTAATCATTGAAAAATTTCTCTTCATTGCAAAGACTGGAACTTGCACAGGTGGAAGGTGTTTGTAGTGAAGTGACTAACCCCGTATTCAGTTGGATGAGTGGAGATGCTGGTTGAGGCTTAAGAAGCGTGTATACAGTGCCACTTCTCTAGGAAGGGAGGGCTGGAGGAATGGATTGGTTAATTAGCTGTTTAATTAGGCACTGGGAATTCAGTGGTGAATAAGGAAAATCTTGTCTTTATTCTCATGGAACTTGCTTTCTGATTGAGGGGAGGAAGTGGTGGTTCAGACAATGAAGAAATGATTGTAATGAAATCAGTGTAATGAAAGAAAAGAACAAACAGGGGATCTCGGTCCCGTTAGCTGCTATCTGCTGTTAGGAACAGTGGTTGACAAGCTTGATTACATAGAAGTATAAACTCAGTAGTAATCCTTTGGAGGTGAACAAGGACAGATAGTGACATGGGTATATGTAATATGCAACACAGGTGTTATTCTTGTCCTCCAGTTCTTGAGTAAATTAGCAAATATTTATTGCATGTCTGCATGCATGTAAAAATCAGTGAACTTAGTGATGTGGAGTATCCTTTGAACCTTGGACCCGCTTTTATTATATAGCTGGGGAGAAAAGACATAGTTGCATACTAAGTTAACTAATGAATCCAAATGAGGATGCTCATTCTAGAGTCAAAGTATGATTAGGGAAAGAAGAGGCTAGAGATAGATCCAATTTTAGTAGTACCCAGAGAGTTAGGAAGATCAGTTAAACGTAGAAGAGAAGTCAGGGACAGATGAACCAGATTAGGCAGACATGGAGGGGAGTGGGAACTGGTATTGAGAGATTCTAAATTCAGATAATAAGTTTTGTGGTAAAGGAAGGAGGAAGAAAGGTTAACTCATGATGTCTGGAATCATAGACTTAAGAATTTGGAATTCTTTTTTGGGGACGAGGAGGAAAGATTTATTTTTATTGGAAAGTCAGATTTTAGAGGAGAGATAGAGAAAAAAATGTTCGTCCACTGGTTGACTCCTCAAGTGGCTGCAGTGGTTGAGCTAAGCCGATCCGAAGCCAGAGCTTGGAGCCTCTTCTGTTGTGCTCGGGTCTGCCATGGTGGGGAGCGGCAGCTGCCACCCACTGCCAGCCTCACAAGCAGCTCAGAGATGCCTGCTGCAACCTGCCACTTCCTTGGTGCTACAGCCACGATGGAGACTGCTGGCCACACAGCCAGGCTAGTAAGCGTCCCGAATCTGCTGGGGCAGTGTCAGCCACCATGATAGTGTTATAGCTCTATTCACAGCTTGGCGGAAGGTCTGATGGTAGCTTAGCGGCAGGTTCAGCAACTGGTTCTGGTCAGTCTCAGCCTTGGGCCTTCCCCAAATGAACCTGTAGGAGTCGAACTTGGATGCAAGCGCACAAGGGTGGTTCATTCAAGCTCAGCATGTCTGAGCTTGGGCTTCCAACCATCACCAGTGCATTGATTCTTGGTTGAAAGCCCTGAGGTAGAAAATTACAGGGTTCTTATGCAGTTCAGGGGGATTCCACACAGTCACACTTATGATTGGTTAACTGTATTTCAGCCAATCAGAATTGCAATTATCAATCCCTCTATTACATAGTCCTATCTCTATGAGGCATACTACTGGTCAGCTATCAATTTCTCATTTTCAGAGTTATCTCTAAAGGGGATCTTGCCTTGAAGAATGACTCAGCACTTCAGATTAGACCTAGGCTAAAGTGGGAGTCACTTAGGCTGAGCAAATGGAGTCACTTAAGCTAATTGGAATTCTGAGGTCTTACATTTCTGGGTTTCCCATGGCAGTACAGCATCCCTAGGCTTGGGCCATCCTCCACTGCAAGCAAGGGAACCAGCATCTGCTACTTTATAGGCTGCTTGAGCAGGGGAGCCAGATTTGAAACAGTGTAGCTGGCTCCAGAGTGGTACTCTGTTATAGAAACCCGGCTTTGCAAGTGGCAGCTTAACCTGTTGCCCTGCAGGGCCTGCCTCTGTAGTGAAAGGTTTTAATTGTCTCCAGTGCTTTACTAGGGGGCAGTTCTAGCTTCAGGTTGTGAAGAAACTACTAATAGAATATGAGAAGATGTCCTGATCTGCCTGGCACTGCCTGGACCTTTACAGAAACACAGAATATTTTGGGTTCTACCCTTAGAAGAATTTTGAACTCTTGAGAGCTATTTATTTATTTTATTTTTTCCTTCTATTGTATTTTTACTTTTAGGGTACAATTTCATAGGCTCTGGAATTTTCCCCTACCCCCTCCTCATATTCCCTCCTCCCAACTTACTTCCCTCATATTATTACAATAGTATAGTAGTTCATTGAGGACAATTTAAATAGTAGTGATATTTATTGAAAAGCATTGTGTGTCCAGTGTAACTATTAAGTACTTTATTGTCATATCATTTATTCCTCCTAGTAGTTCTACCAAGATAGTTGTATTACTAAGAATCATTCATTTCACACATATCAACTAAACACCTGGGATGTGTCCAACACAGGAGACCCTCCTCGGCTAATGGAATTTCCATTCTAAGTACAGATTCTTTGGCAAGAATGACATCAATCTTTTTTTTTTTTAAGATTTATTTTTATTATTTTTTTATTGGAAAGGCGGATATACAGAGAGGAGAGACAGAGAGGAAGATCTTCTGTCCGATGATTCACTCCCCAAGTGAGTGCAATGGCCGATGCTATGCCGAAGCCAGGAGCCTCTTCCGTGTCTCCCGCGCGGGTGCAGGGTCCTAAAGCTTTGGGCCGTCCTCGACTGCTTTCCCAGGCCACAGGCAGGGAGCTGGAAGGAAAGCGGGGCTGCCAGGATAGAACCGGTGCCCATATGGGATCCCGGGCGTGCAAGGCGAGGACCTTAACCACTTGTGCCACTGCACCGGGCCCAAATGACATCAATCTTTAAAAAAATGCTAAGATGTCCAGAAAAGAGAGTTCTGGTATTATCCAACACCCGGGTTCTATTCTTCTTATTATTGAAAGCTTTGGTTCTTATTAATGGTACCAGTTCAGAATAACAAGGACTGGATTTGACGTTAAAGGAAAGAGAAAGTTCCACTGGTGAATGAGAAAGGTGGTAGATTAGTGTTTCAAGAACCACTATCCTTCTTTGTGAAACAATGTGGAAACAGAGGAGTTTGGGAAGATTAAACAAATTGACCAAGGTTGTGGGTAGGAGTTTGGGAAAGTGCTATTTCGCACCTGATTTTAATGGACTCTTTGGCTTCTCTTCTTTCCACTTTGCCAACACATCTTGTTAGTCACAGGAGCCCAGGGAAGGGAGTGAAGCTTGGGAATGGAATAGGGTGCCTTGGCAGGACAATATTCTTTCTTCAAGGAATGTGTGATTGATTGATCACCTTAACGCAATCAAATGTGATATGAGTATTCACAGATACTGAATTGTTGTGTGATTGTAGAGCCAGTAACGCTAGCTATGAGACAGAGCTAGAAAAAAGTTTTTTTTTTTTTTTATCTTTTAATTATTTTGGAAAGGCAAATATGAAGTGTGGAACATTAAGAAATTTGTGTAAAACATTTCTTTTTCCTGCAAGGTTTCTTCCATTATTAAAAGAAATGTTTAAGACTAACAATGTCTTTAGGAACCATTGGGTGTGAATTGGATGGTACATGTTTATAAATTAAAAAACAAAACAAAACTGTATTCCCACCTACTTCAAGAACCACAAAGAAAGAAGGATGAGACCGTCCATAAGCCCCAGCATCTACATCAGCCGGGTCTGGGCCATGCCAAAGCTAGGAATGGGGTGTTGCTGCTGGGTCTCCCCTGTGGGAACAGGGGTCCCCACATTTAGGACATCATTCTGTTTTCCCAGGTGCATCAACAGGGGGCTAGATCGGAAGCCAAGTATCCAGGACTCTAATGAGCACTCAGATAAGGGTGCAGGCCTCAGAAGCAATGGTTTAACCTATTTCACCGCTGTGCAATATCCTCCTCTGTAAATGGTTGCTGGATGACTGTAGCTGGTTCTGCTTAGTGGTGTAAATAAGAGTGAAAGACTTGAAGCTGTCATGAGGCAATTCAGTCTTGGGTGGAGAAAGGCATATAAATGTTAATAGCTCTGCAAAGGGAGCAATACTTTAGTACCTGATGTTGGAAAAATGCTTGTGACTGTTGCCAGATCCAAGAGTACTCTCAGCTGTGTCTTATAGGGATGATTTGATAGCACGTGTTTTGTAGAACCGAGCCTAAGACTCTATTTTCTGTAGCATGTGAAAGGAATTAGTCTATATTTGGTAATATACCAAATGTACTAACTAGAAAAGTTGGTTTCAGCTCTTTAAAAAAAATCGTTTTTTGTGAATCCACATGTCTTATGCATAGTGGCTATTCATTTCTTTTAAAATGACAAAAATGGAACCTTGAAGGAAATAATTACAGATACAAAAAAAAAATGAGGCTTGTTGTGTAAAATTGCCAGTGAGTTTAGGTCCTGTTACTTAAAAAACAACACATTTCAGTATGCTTTTTAAACATCAGTTATTTCAATGACTCAGTGATTGCCAGCTCTTTTTTTGTCTTCACTTCAGAGGAATTACTCCAATAAATGCTTACTGTGGGGGTAGGGGCTCTTGTTGCAGTGATGTGTTTTCCCATGAAAACAGTGTGGAGTTTAGGAAGGCTAAGTCTTAAGGATTTTGCTCACCCACAGGGGATGCAACCCAAGGCACCCCAAGACTCCCAAAGGCTCCTACAATTATAGTGTTGAATCCTGTACAAGTACACTGGTCCCTTGTATTCACTGGGGAGTGGTTCCATGCTTTTCTGTGACTGGCTTTATTTTCTACAGATCTTGGTAGGCTGTGGATTATTTTATCTTGGGGGCACTGTTGTCGCCCTTAGATTTGAACCCTCCAGTTTGCTTATGTTGTGTTAAATGGCTCAGTATCTTCGGTGACGGTACTCAGTTCTTGGGATATCTGTAATCCTGTGGATTCCAGCAATAAACCTGGTCTGTATGCTCCCCTGCAGGGAACACTTACCTCCAGGGAACTGAAGAGTGACCCTTACATTTGGGAATATGAGGAAGGAATTAATTGCAGCTTATTGCACCAGTTTACCGTCAAGCTATAAGGTGTATAAATGTGGTTGGTACCAGGGCATGTGGCTGAACCTACTGAGTTTCATGACTTTGGATGATGGGCCACTTCCCAGGCATGCCTGTCTGAGTCAGGTGTTCCTCCTCTGTGCTTCATGCAAGCACCTGTACCCCACTGTAGATCTCTTTCCTTTAACCAGAGAACTGAGTGAAGTCTGATCAGGGAGATGTTTGAAATGGTCACTTTAGTCACTTGACAAGGAGGAAATCTAAATGATACTTTCTTGTTTTTTCCTTTTTTTTTATTTTCTTGAAAAGAGGTCATCACTCAGGTCTTTCTGATCTAAATCCCAAAATGAAGAAAAGCATTTTCTTGGGTTGACTGAAGAACGTTATTAACAATAAACATGGAAAATGAATCAGACCAGGAAAGTGTGGAGCAGACCCTCTGTGCCAAGACTACTGAAGAAGAACTGAATAAGACTTTCAATCTAGAGGCTTCACTTTCAAAATTCTCTTACATTGATCTGGACAAGGAACTGGAGTTCAAAAATGATTTGGTAAAAATTTTCCATTTTTGTCCAGTGATGATGTTAGCAAAGGATTGGTTAGAGTGTGCTTTATAACCTAGACTAAATATTCTTATTTTTGCATGGATTAGCAAGTTTCTATTTGCAGTTTTATAAGATAATATCACTCATCATTTATATAGTTCACTGCAGTTTATGAAACACATTAGCTCATGTTATTATTTGAGCTTCACAGCTCTCAAAACGCTCTGATAATCCACTTCATAGATGAAAACACTGGCATGCAACTATGTTAAACGACTTCTCAAGGTCACAGAACTAGCAGCATGTTGAGAATTCTTATAGCGCAATTTTTCATCATGGATTTAATGTTACATTAATGGGTTTCTGTGATTATGAGAGTATTTAATGACAAGTTGCCTCACTTAATCGGTTTCTCAACATAAAGTATGAGTAACTAAGAATGGCAAGGACAGACTTTTCTTATAATGATTGATGTCTAAACTTGGAATGTTAGGGTTATCGTAAGGCATGCTGTTTTGTCCTATATAAGAAAGCAGATGCGGAAGTACTCTGGTACATGGTTTTTGGAAAGGATGTTCAGGATGGGACATTCAGCACATTTACCCTCAAGAGTTACTGATTTTATGGTTAGGGAAGAATCAAATCTGCATTTTTTTTTTTTACACTGAAACCTTATTATTAAGGATTATTGAGTTGTCTATATGATCAGTTTGGTGCCAACTTTGTTATTTAATTAAAATGGTTATAATTAAGACAGTCATAAGAGGAAAGGCATCATTATGTGAGTATTAATTTCTTTTCTTTATTTAGATTGATGACAAGGAGTTCGATATTCCTCAAGTTGATACACCTCCAACTCTGGAAAGCATACTAAATGAGGTAAGTAAATGGTTGTGATGACTGTCATGTTGTGGATATTGTCGTTAATGCTTTGGTGTGTGTCCATGTGTGCATTATCCACTATGGTAGCCACTAGTATCAGTTTAAAATTTAAGTGAATTACAGTTCAATCAAAGTTCTATTCTTCAAGGACCTGTGCAGATTAAAACCTCTACCTGCAGAACCAACATCCTATGTACATATTGGTTCACATCCTGGCCACTCGGCTTCTGAACCTGCTTCCTGCTAATGTGCTAGGGGTGGGGAGTGAAGGGTGGCCCAAATACTTGGGCGCCCACACCCTTGTGGGAGACCTGGAAGAAACTCCTGGCTTCACACTGGCCCAGCTCTGGCTATGGTACCCATTTGGGGACTGAACCAATGAATGAAAGATCCCTCTCACTCCTTTCTCTGGAACTGTCTTTCAAACAAAAATCAGTCTTAAAAAAAGCTGCTATACATGGCACATATCATGTGTTCAGTGGCCACAAGTAGCTAGTGACTAAACATACAGAACAACACAGGTAGATACAGAATATTTCCATCATTGCAGGAAGTTCTGTTGGACAGCTCCAGTCTAGACCATGAGCGTCTCGAGGGAAGACACTGTTCTGTTTATCTTTAGAGCTTTAGATTTTAGAGTCTCTGAGCCCAGCATGATGACTGATACTTGGTAGTCTTTGGAAATATATTAAGTGCATTTTGGGATCTGTTATGTAATGATAATGATTATTTCTGCTAGCAATATTTAAGTAGCTCATCCTCTGATGCGAAGCATCATATTAATACTTTTTACAGCAGTGAGCTTTATTAATCTATGTGGAGGAAACAAAATAGTTTATCCCATGAATGCCATCGCTGTTAAGAAGTTTTGAAATGGTGTGATCTTTTTTTGAGTCAGGAGGCTTTGTCCAGGAATTCTGTGGGAGTGCATGGTTGATGAAATGTGCATTTTTAGATACCTTACATCTGCTGGCATCTCTTCAACTCAGTCTTCTTAGTCCTTTAAAGATGTGTTGAAGACCTGCTTTTGGAGGTTTCAGCTTCTAATTGGAGAAAGATTTCTTTTATGTGTAAATCTGTTTCAGATCTACGGTTTTGTTTTACCTAGACTGTTGGGATTGTAGGCAGTACTTTCTAGGATGCCAACTCCTATCTCCGTGGGTTGCATTGTTTTTTTGTGTGGCTTTCATTTCCATTTTTTTTTTAATATCTGTTTGATGTTGCTATTACTTTGAATGTACTTTTGACTTATGGTAAGGCTTAAGGATTTTTAGATTTGACAAAGAATGCTTTGTCTTTGAAAGAATATCCTGTTACAGCAAAATACCCTTTATTGATTACAGTTACATTTCATTCTATATTTGATATAGAGGAAATCTTCTATTTAGCAATGAGGAGATTGGTTTTAGTCGGTTTTGTTAATTTGCTCTTAATCACTTCCTCCTCTTAATTACCATACTTTAATTACATACTTTTTTTTAAAAAGATTTATTTATTTATTGGAAAGTCAGATATACAGAGAGGATGAGAGACAGAGAGGAAGATCTTCCATCCACTGATTCACTCCCCAAGTGAGCACAACGGCCGGTACTGTGCCGATCCGAAGCCAGGATCCAGGAACTTCTTCCTGGTATCCCACACAGGTGCAGGGTCCCAAAGCTTTGGGCCATCCTCGACTGCTTTCCCAGGCTACATGCAGGGAGCTGGATGGGAAGTGGAGCTGCTGGGATTAGAACCGGTGCCCATATGGGATCCTGGCGCATTCAAGGCGAGGACTTTAGCCACTAGGCCACGCCACCAGCCCCTAATTGCATACTTTTAAATTAATCCTACTTTTAGTTACTATTTGAAATAAATAATTTGTTTACATTTTAAAATATTTGTAGATTTATAATTTTAGCAAATAATGCTCAGATGAATGAGATTGTAGTTCATGATGAAAAAAAAAAGCTGACTTTGCACAGCTTTCTAATCTGTAAGTAAGAGTTTGTCAGTCATTAGCGGTTTACTGAGAAGAGAGTACTATTATTATGTTCAGTTGTAATTTGGACACCTAGCGAATTTAGGTCATGGATTATAAAGAGTTATGGATTCTTTGCTTTGAGAGAGATAAGACTGGTCTTGGCTGGCCTCTCACCTGTAGAAAGCTGTGCAGCAAAAGACATGTTTCTCTTTTCTAAGTTTTATTTATTTTTTATTGGAAAGGCAGATTTACAGAGAGAAAGAGCGTTGGAGAGAAAGATCTTTCATCTGCTGGTTCACTCCCCAAGTAGCTGCAATGGCCAGAGCTAAGCTGATCCAAAGCTAGGAGTCAGGAACTTCTTCCAGGTCTCCCACTTGGATGCAGGGTCTCAAGGCTTTGGTCCATTCTCTACTGCTTTCCCACATCACAAGCAGGGAGCGGGATGGGAAGTGGAGCAGCTAGGGCAAAAACCAGCACCCATATGGGATCCCAGAGCATGCATGGCAAGGATTTAGCCACTAGGATATCACAATGGACCCAAGAAAATTATTTTTTAAAAGGTTTATTTATTTATAAGATTAAGAGAGGAAGAGAGAAGTGATTCACTCCACGAGTGGCCACATTGGCCATGGCTAAGGAAGGCTGAAGCCAGCAGTCAGTGGCTTCATCTGGGTTTCCCACATGGATACAGAGGCCCAAGGATGTGGGCCATTGTCCACTGCTTTCCCAGGCACATTAGCAGGGAACAGGATCTGAAATGGAGTATTTGGAACACAAACTAGTGCTGATAGGGGATGCTGGCATCACAGGTAGTGGCTGTATTCACTATGCCACAATGCCATCCCCTAGAAAATGATTTTTAAAATTTGAAAATAGCAGAGAGTGTAAACAGGCTCCTGCTTCAGCATATGTGAAGGTATACATTTTATAATGCTCATTAAGATCAGCATGATTGGGCTGGTGTTATGATATAGCAGGTTAAGCTGACTCCTGAGACACTAACATCCCATATAGGTGGCTGTTTGAGCCTGCACTGTTCCAATATGATCTAGCTCCCTGGTAAGACATGCCCTGGAAATGCAGTAGAAAATGGGCCAAGTCCTGGGGAACCTGCACTCATGTGGGAGATCTGGTGCAAGCTCCTGGCTCCTGGGCTTTGGCCCAGCCAGAGTGGCTGTTGTAGTCATGGGAGGAGTGAAGCAGCAAATGAAAGGTCTCTCTCTTGTGCTCCCTCTTCTCTCTCTCCCTATATGTATGTTTATCTCCTTCTCTGTGGAATTCTTTCAAATACATAAATAACTTTTCAAAGATTTATTTATTTTGTTGGAAAGTCAGATTTATACAGAGAAGGAGAGACAGAGAGGAAGATCCTCTGTTTGCTGGTTCATTCCCCAAGGAGCCATAACGGCTGGAGCTGAGCCAATCCGAAGCCAGGAGGCTAGAGCTTCTTCGGGTCCCCCACATGGATGCAGGGTCCCAAAGCTTTGGGCCATCCTTGACTGCTTTCCCAGGCCACAAGCAGGGAGCTGGATGGGAAGCCAGGCCCCTGGGATTAGAACTGGTGCCCATATGGGAGTCCAGTGCATGCCAGGTGAAAACTTTAGACACTAGACTATTGTGCTGGGCCCAATAATTTTTCTCTAAGGATCAGCCTGAAGGGAATGAGAGAAGAAATAGATGTCAGGGTGACTGAGACATGTTCAGTCTCAGAGTTTAGGGCATGAAATAACGTTACTAGGCCTTACCGTCCTTTGAAATTGCTGTCTGTGAAGTTTCTTATTTTGAAATTTCTTTTTCTACCAGTATTTTTTCTCTCATTCCCTTAAACCTGTCCTTTTGGTGTCGATCCTGTATTGGCACTGATCAATGTGTTGGCTGCTCCACTTCCAGTTCAGCTTCCTTTCAGTGGCCTAGGAAAGCAGCAGAAGATGGCCGGAGTGCTTGGGCCTCTACTCCCCTTGTGGAAGACCCAGGTAAAGCTCCTGCTCCTGGCTGCAACTTGACACAGCCCTGGCTGTTAACAACCGTCTGGAGAATGAACTACAAGATGGAAGATATCTTTCTCTCCCACCCCTCTCTGTAACTCTGGCTTTCAAATTAAAAAAAAAAAAATCAAGCTTAAAAAAACACCAACAAGTATCCCTGTCTTTTTACCTCATAAAGACATTGTCTCAGTTGTTCCTGGTTTCAGTCTCTGAGAGTAGTCCTGGGTTTATTTCAGTCCTACCATTAAAGCCAGAGAATTCTTTTGAACTCTTTCTTGAATATAAAACATACTTGCAGAAAGGTGCCTGGGTCTTAACTATACCGTGTGGTGAATTTTCGCAAGTAGAAAACCTGTGCCACCATAATTCAGAATTGAAAACAATATTAGCACCTCATATGTCTGCTTGTGCCCCTTTACTGCCCAACCTCACGGCAATTACTAGCCTAACTTCAACCAGCATTATATAAACTTCAGCCTACTCTGAAGTTTATATAAATGGGATTATACCACATATACTTTTGTGTGTCTGACTTATTCCCTTGAATATTCCATTTTTAGCTTTATTTGTAGTTTTGTAATTCATCATTCATTCCTTTTGCTGCATGAACTTCTTTATGAATATGTAATTATTGATTCATTCTATTGATAGGTATTTATATAGTTTCTAGCTTATGGCTTGTGTAAAGAGTGCTGTTATGAATGTTTTTGTATCTTTTGGTAATTACGAACACATACACAAATATACACACACACACACATATATATATATCTTTTTTTAAAGATTTTTTTTAATTGGAAAGTCATATACAGAGAGAAGGAGAGACAGAGAGGAAGATCTTCCGTCCAATGGTTCACTCCCCAAGCAGCCGCAATAGCTGGAGCTGAGCCAATCTGAAGCCAGGAACCTTAATCCTCTTTTGAGTGTTCCTTGCAGGTGCAGGATCCCAAGGCTTTGGGCCATCCTCAGCTGCTTTCCCAGGCCACAGGCAGGGAGCTGGATGGGAAGCCAGGCTGCTAGGATTAGAATCAGTGTCCATATGGGATCCC